TCTGCAGAACCTGGACGGATCGTGTGTCCTGTGCCAGGCAGGGCCCGTCTGGCCCTGGCCCATGCCAGGACCTGGGCAAAGCTCACTCTGTGGGCAGAGGGGGTGAAGCTGGGTGGGAGGGGAGGGGAGAGGCGGGGGAAGGGTGATGGGCATTTCTCCGTGCCAGGGACGTGGACATACCGCTGTCCCTGTCTGGAACCACAAGCTCCAGTGTAATAAACTAGGAGGGCACACAGCATGTTGGGAAAGTTCTCAGATTCAAAATGGAGTCGGTTGTGTCAAGCCTGGCACATGGGGCCTCTCGTGCCCTGCCTGCCTGATAACAGGGGCGATCGATCACAAGGCATTTTCCCAAACCGCAGCTCACTGCGTGGGTCGCACAGGGACGGGCAGCAGCACGAGGACAGACAGCCACTTTCACAAGAACGGTCGCCCAACGCACTGTCTCGGAAGCCCAGGGCAGAACCACAAGGGCCTAAGCCTAACGCCGAGATCGCAACGGCTGACACTGGCGAATCAGAACTCGCCGGCGCCAGTCAGATGCTGCCAGCGCCAGCGAACTCTCTTTCAAACCCACCTGCGTAACCTCCTCTTTCCCCGACAGGCCCTCACCTTTTCATTGCTCTCTGCACGTACTGGAGCCACCCTGGTCTGCACATGTGTGTGGGTTGCAGTCCTACTTGTATGTCTTTCCAAATAAAATCTTTTTCTTTATTTTATTTTATATCTATTTTTTAGAGACAAATTCTCACTCTGTTGCCTGGGCTAGAGTGCTGTGGCTTCAGCCTAGCTCACAGCAACCTCAAACTCCTGGGCTCAAGGGATCCTCCTGCCTCAGCCTCCCGAGTAGCTGGGACTACAGGCATGCGCCACCATGCCCGGCTAATTTTTTCTATATACTTTTAGTTGGCCAATTAATTTCTTTCTATTTTTAGTAGAGACGGGGTCTCGATCTTGCTCAGGCTGGTTTTGAACTCCTGACCTTGAGTGCCAGGATTACAGGCGTGAGCCAAGGCGCCCGGCCTAAATGAAATCTTTTCATTTAGAGATTCACCACCCTGCATTTTTCATGTTGATATAATCTGGTGTCCTAGAAGTGGGGTTCGAAGCAGATTTGCCTGGAAAGGTCAACTGACCCCTGGGACTATTCCTGTGGTCCCCGCACTCAGGCTGCCGGAGCCCCTGCTTCCAGGGGGTCACCCCCACCCTGGTCATGAGTCTTTCTTGCACAGAACTCTCATATATTTTTTTTTCTTTTGGTTGAGTTCTCTGGTTTTACGTGGCATTTGTTTTGAGGGGTCTTTCCCATTTGAGGGGTCTCCTCCTGTTTATGAGAGGCCCCTAGCTTATGAGGAACCTCCTCCCTCCTGGAAGGAGTCTCGTGCTGAGAGGCCCCCCCCCCTCCAGTCTCTGAGAGGGCTCTTCCTCCTGGTAAAGCAGGCTCTGCGGTCCGGTCCTCCCTTCCCCGTGAGCGCACACGTGACTCTTGGTGGCCTTGTGCACACCTGGCATCTTGGCTTTTGCGTGTTAGACCTTAGCGCCAACTTGCCTAGATAAATGTACGGATGGGCAACATGGGCTACCAAATTCAAAGGCAAGGCCAGAGAGAGTTCCCTGTTCTGGGACCCCCAGCTGGTGACACCTGCAAACATTCAGATGGGGACATTCAGAGAGTTTGTTTTTCTTAGAACCAAACAAGACCACAGCTGTGAAGTCATGCGGCCCACGTAGAAGGAACGTCTCCATTTGCAGCTCAAGGCTCCCGATTGCACCCGGGGACCCAAAGGCCGCCTTGCTGCAAAGACTGCCGCAAAGCCACGGAGACGGTCCTCGTGGACGCCCCTTCCCACGCCTCCTCCTCCTCCTCCGGATCCTGCTCTCAGCCCGGATCTCTTTTCTCCCACACTCCTCAGCTGATCCGGCGCACTGACGACTTAGCTAAAGACGCTTGAAACACAGCAGGTACAAAAAAGTGATCTTGACCTTCGTGCTGTCTCTTAAAAGCAAAAGATGAAATTCCCAGAGATGTCTTCCCTGCACTCGAAGGAAAGGCGGCACGCTGTGTTCCCAAGGACGAGGAATTAAAGCCACAAGAACGCTTTTGTTAGATTACCTCTTATCTTTTAAGCCTCCTCTCACAATTTGGTTCACAGCCTTTGTAAAATTACCTGTCCGGGCAAAGGGAAGATCGTAGAGTGCAACCTCGCTCCATGTTGTCGGAAATAGAATTTGAATTCAACTGTCTTCATACAAACTGGTGAATTTATATTACCATGTTTTACTCGTGACTACATTTTTAAAGCAAAAGCTGTAAAGTCTTTATTTTTGTTCATGTGTATGCTTATGTTTTTTTTGTTTATATGTTTTATGTATATAGTATTTTTCTATGAAAATATATAAAAGAGTGCTGTTGGCTTAAAGGGAAAAAGAAGTAGTACTTAAATAAGTTATCACAAATATGGTAATTAACCTAAGTGCCTTTTTAGTTCACCTGACTTAAGTAAATATTCGATAAATAAGTTGATTTTAAATTTGTTATCTTCAGAATTTTTAGCACATTTTATTTTGTTTTTTTCTCTGGTAAACATTTTAAAATCATAAAAGGGTGAGTTGGACCTAAAACCCAGTGTGCAGATGAGAGTGCAATGTGGGATCTATTGTTTCCAGTGGATCAGGAGCAATGATTTGATTTTAGGGTTTTTCTTTGACAGGAAAATAACTTCAAATAATGACTAGCTCTGCCTAACATCTCAGTGTTCATAAGTAATGTAGGTACAACTGTTAAAAATAACAAATTAGGTAAATGTAAATGGGATGAACATTTATAAAAAAGCTTTTCATGTAATTTGAAATCTTAAAAGTTATGTTATGTTGAATTAAATAACAGAGATTCGTAAAATAGCTGAGTCACTTCTAAATAAATTAAAATACTGAAACTGTAATTGCTAAACATAGATTCAAGTTTATTTTCTTGGCCGGGCGTGGTGGCTCATGCCTGTAATCCTAGCACTCTGGGAGGCCGAGGCGGGCGGATTGCTTGAGGTCAGGAGTTCGAGACCAGCCTGAGTAAGAGCGAGACCCGGTCTCTACTAAAAATAGAAAAAAAAAAAATAGCTGGTCAACTGAAAATAGAAACAAAAAATTAGCCAGGCGTGGTGGTGAGCATCTGTAATCCCAGCTACTCGGGAGGCTGAGGCAGGAGGATCGCTTGAGCCCAGGAATTTGAGGTTGCTGTGAGCTAGGCTGATGCCACGGCACTCACTCTAGCCTGGGCAACAAAGCGAGACTCCGTCTCAAAACAAACAAACAAATAAACAAATTGTTCTTTGTAACCAGGCAATTTCACATACTTTTACTTTTTCTAAAAGCCATGCATTCCCTTGCTCAGGTACTGGATTTCTTGTTTATATTATTCTTCTATGGTATGGCGTATACTCAGACCCTAGACACCCAGTCTTCCAGCGTCTAATTGAGTTCAAGTACCTTTCCAAACCTAGAAGGTTTGAGTCCAGGTTATCCAAACGTGCCTCCCATAAGGAGGAGCCGTCATATTGCAGGAAGTTTTTCTTTACCTTTTTAAGTAAGCAGCCTAAGAAACAGAGATTTTGTGTTTTAAGATAGTTTCTTGTGTTTTGTGCTGTGTTTATTAGGTTTTTGACTACTTGGGGAAACTAAGTCATCTCTAATATGGGCCTAAGTTTTTTTTTGCCTCTCAACTATGTAACTTTTTATGTTTGCTTTTGAAGTCTTTTAAATATCATTCTAATTAAATAAATGACTATTATTTCTTAATGACATGTGATTCCATCTTAATTAAATGTTTTAAGCCTTTAACATCTTTGACAGACTTCCCCGAATTGAATTCTAATTAAAGTCTTTTTAACCTAAAATTGACTTCGGGATTTTTCAGTTGGGCCCCTGAAAAGCCTCTAAGTAGGTGTCTCTCGTTAGACTTATTTGATATGTTGTATTATATAAAAAGTACTGTCCAATAATAAAGTGATACTGGATCTTCTTTAGCTAATGTTTATATGGATATGCTATTGATGTAAATGTTCTGAAAATTATATAAAATTTATTAAATGCTGCATGCAGGAGAAATGACCGAAGTCCCCTGTCAGTTGCTGGACTTTCATCAGATTTTAACTGCGGCTATTCTAAGCTTTGTCGTCTACGGTGTTTATTCTTCTCTAAGGGCATCTGCAGTCAGATTCATAAAACAGACTCTCACGAGCACTCTTAAATGCAGGTTTCTAGTCCTGTGCATTGCTTCTGAGTTCTGGTTATCTACCTGTAGACTGGGCTAGATCCCGAATTCCAGTTCCTTCCACTATCTGGCTACAACCCTCCCACTAAGCACGAGAACTGCTCTGTTCCTAAGGCCCGACAAGCTGAAACCGAACGCATTTCTAGGGACAAATCTTGTGCCCCATGTGGGGACCATACGGAGAGTTCACCGAATCACTCAACGCCTAACCAGAGACATTTGAATTGCAAAACTGCCGACATCCCAAAAGACCCACGAAACAAGACTCCGTGGCACAATGAGATTCTTACCCCTCCCCATGCCCAGCTTTTTCACCCGACAGCGAAGTGCTGTAGTTAAAATTTCACAGTCGGGAACTGCAGTGAGTAACTTGACAAAAATGTGACCTAAAACTCCCTTTAGTCCACCTAGCGGGTAACCGTGACAACGTCCTAACACAACTCGCTCAAGCTGTAGCAAGACGCCCTTTTATACAGTTGGTGCTCTCTGCTTTAGTTCCACCGAGGCACGGAGTGCTGCTCGCTGGCTGTGACAGGCCGCCCCCAGCTTCTCCCAGGGTCTCTTGATTTGTTTTGTCGTTTCCTTGGTCTTGGACTCCTGGTCCGAGATCACTATACAACCTGAATTCATTATCTCCTGCCGGTTTCCCTTAGAATCCTTTCCTTTAAACACTGCACCTGTTGCCTGTCCAGCCTCTGCAGGAATGACACTCTTGGTGCGGCAGTGCCGGCCCAGCACTTCAGAGTGACCGCTGACACCCACGGACTGAACATAGCTCCATAGTGGACTCCGCGTAGATGCAGCCTGGGAGTCGCTTTCCCCAGACTCTCGTGCCGCTCAAAGGTGGCCGAGAGCATTTTGACACCGACTCCGAGTTAGCAACCACTCCCCTGATGTAGGGCCAGACCGGCCACCGGGAACAAGGCCATCCCGGCACCGAGGGACAGTCAGCACCTAACTGTAAGGGTAGGTGATCAGTGTTACTTTCAGAGAAAAGTCTTGATCAGAAGGGGGAAAGGTGAAAGTTGTATGATTGAGACCGCAGTTGCTCATGTCGGAGCCGGGGAGGCAGCGGAGGGGAGGGCTCTCATGCACTATTCGTCTGGATAGTTCTAGCACAAAATAGTTCTCAAACCGTAGCTCACCGCATGAGTCACACAAGGACAGCTAGCAGCACAAGGACAGATAGCGCTCATACAAGAACTACTGCCTGACACACTGTCTCAGAAGCCAGAGCAGAACTACAAATGCCTGACCCTCCCTGCAAGATTACGACCCGCAACTACCGACACTCACCGGTCAGAGCTGGTGCCTGTCAGACGCAGCCAGCGCCAATGAACTTTCTTTCAAAACGACCTGCGTAGCCTCCCTTTCCCCCAACAATCCCTGATCGTTTTCTTTGTTCTCCAGATATATCAGGGCCCACCCTGTTCTGCATGTATTATTGCAGTCCTACTCCATCCCTCTCTTTCTGTTTTATGTTGATAACATACAGGGTGAGGGGCAGGGAGGTGCAGGGCAGGGGTGGGGGGGTCACTGTCACAGACAGAGTGGCTGGAACGGGCCTCTCTGGGCAGGTGAGGGTGGATAAAAGGCTGGCAGGTGAGGGTGGGGCTGGCAGGTGTTGGGAGCAGGGGCGCTCCAGACAGGGGAAGGGCTGCAGCAAAGGCCAGGACACTCCAAGGGCCAGGGGAGGGGCGGGGAGGGGGCCCCAGCAGAGAGGGAGGGGACAGGAGTCCCATACTTGGAGGTCGCCTTCAGGCTGCGGCTTTGCTGGTGAAGGGAGTGGCTCAAGGGTGTTCTAGAGAGGCCTGGCGTGACCTGCTCCAAGTCCTCGTGAGCCACTCTGCTGTGACCTGCTCCAGGTCCTCGTGAGCCACTCTGCCGCTGAGCTGAGAATGTTAGGAATGGTCAGTGATCCCCAGCTGCCTGGCCTGAGCCACTCTTTGTGGGCCTTTCTGGTCTTAGCACAGAGAAGGGGCCCTCCAGGAGCAGGACAGGCCACGGGGCCAGTCAGGGCCAGGGCAGCAATCAGCCTGGGCGTGAGGGGGACCGGGGTGCCCAGACTGGGGACACGGTCCTGGGTCAGGGTTGGGAACCCAGTGGCTGTTGGCCGTGGGGGAGGGGCAGAGGCGGGGAGGACTCCAGCTTGGGGGAGGGCAGGTTGCAGTGACCATCGCGGAGGGAGGCAGCACAGAGACATGTACGTTCATGCAGACAGCAAGTCCCTTGGGGACTGTTGACCGGACGTGCCGTGAGGGGACACGAGGGCCTCGGCCAGGATGGGAGGGGTGGCCGGACACGATCCGGGTACATCGTGTGCAAAGGTCTCAGGGGGAGGCCCCAGACCAGCCTTGACCCCACGTGCCTCGCCACCCCGCACACACCCTCGCCAGGCCCTGCCGCGAGTCTCAGCATCTCCCCACACCCACGGCCACCGTCAGCTCCGTGAATGGCCAGCCTCCCCCCGCTGGGCCCTGCCATGGTGGTCGCTCTGAGTCCAGGGCAAGCAGGGACAGTCAGAGCTGGTCAGTCCCGGGCTACGCCCCCCTGCCCTGCCATCCTCTCCAGCTATGTCCGTCCTTTCTCCCATGTCTCGTTCCTTCCGGTGACTTCTCTCCCCCGGGAGAGGCGGCTTCCACCAGGGCACACAGGGATTTTGTTCATTCTGTGTTTCTAGAACTCTTTGTTCTAGAAACACAGCCCGGCCCGCCCCATGCCTGCCAGGCCCAACGTGCCTCCAACTGTCCAGCCATTCCTGGGCCCCGCGACCTTTGCCCCAGCTGCCCCCGGCCTGGGACGCACCCCAATCCAGCCGGCTCAGCCCAAAGGTCAGGAGGGGTCCCTGACCATCGCTTGCTTCCGCCTCTTCCTCTCCTGCCCCCCTGCCCTGCCATCCTCTCCAGCTATGTCCGTCCTTTCTCCCATGTCTCGTTCCTTCCGGTGACTTCTCTCCCCCGGGAGAGGCGGCTTCCACCAGGGCACGCAGGGATTTTGTTCATTCTGTCCCCAGAGCTCAGAAGCTGCATGGGCACCTCGGACAGAGGCCACTGCCCCCAAGGTGGCCTTCTCAACCCCCCTTCCCCTCCCGAGCCTGGGCACAGACACCCTGAGGTCAGGGGCTCCTGGGCCAGTGGACTGCACCGGCCTTGGGGACCCCGGGCCTTTGTCAAACCCTTCTCGGGTCGTCCTCACCTTCAGCATCCCCTGTTCCCCGTGGCCTCCCTGGCTAGAAACAGCTGGGCCCGGGCACCTGCTCCATGTGTGTGCCTGTCAAGGCCCCTGCTCAGGTGGCCTGCAGGGACCTGTGTGCAGTGGCTTAAAGCAGCACACCCCTGTTAGCTCACAGTGCTGGCAGTCAGAAGCCCTGAAGCCAAGGTGTCGGCAGGCGGCTTCTCCTGGGGGTCCGGGCGGATGCATCCCTTGCCTTTTGCAGCTTCTGGAGGGCACCTTCGTCCTCGGGTCCTGCGCCTCCTTTGGGTCACTCCAACCCTTGCCTTGCAGCCTCACATCTTGCCTGACTCCGACCCTCCCGCCTCCCTCTGATAAGCCTCCCTCTGATAAGGACCCCGTGATGACACTGGGCCCACCGGATAATCCAGGACGACCCCTCATCTCAAGGTCTTTAACGCAGTCACACCTGCTGCAGTAGGGTGTCCATTAGGATGTCTTTGGGGGCTGTGACTCTGCGGCCACACCCCCCAGGCCTGTGTTTCCACCAGCCCGTGCCGTTCCCACCGTGGGTGGGTCGTGGTCCCTGTGGGTGTCCCGCTGGGCTTGGCCAGGCAGTTCGCAGGCTGCCTTTTCAGATGCTCCCTGACTGCTGAGAATTCTCCTTGGTCCCCCTGAAGAGGGGCGAGGTGCCCTGTCACGGCAGGGACTTCCAGGGGACCTAGCCAGGTGAACCCACAGGCGCTGCGGAGTGAACCTGCAGGGTAGCGGCTGCGCAGGCCACTGAGGAGTGTGAAAGACTCACCCGGCTCCGTTGTGCCCTATCCAGCTACCCCGCTCCATGCAGCGCGGGGTCAGACTGGGGGGCTCCCGCCACCCCATCCCGTCCTCTGCCGCACTTCGCGCTAGCTCCTTGGGTGTCTGGAAGCCCATTCTGCTCGCCCTTCACATCCTCTCCTGGAGCCTCCTGACATAGTTTCCTTTTCATTTCTGCTTTCTCATTGCTCCCTTAACCTTTTGTTTCCTTGTCGGTAAAAATGTGCAGGAAATACATGGCTCTTTCCCTTACTAAAATGGACAAAAAAAAAAAAAAAAAAGAATCCATAGAAATAGAAGGTTGGGGAGCTCACGTGGGCCATTTGGGCCATTCTGAGCGATTTCTGACCCTTCCGGGCCCACCCAGGCGGCCCGGCTCCCGCCAGGGTCTCTTAGTCCCGAGGGGCCCCCGCCCGGCCGCTGAGAAGCGCAGACTCAGACCAAGCGGGACGGGGATCTTTCACTGATGTGCCCCTCACTTCCGCCCGATGTTCAGGATGAAGGGGGAGGAAGGGAGCTCTAGAAAGAGAAAATGAGACAGGAGGGAAATTACAAGGCTCAGCGCTCCAGCTCCAGACCGGTATTTTTGCCCGGGTCTTGCTTCTGTGACCGGCTGCCGCCCTTCTATTTGTGGCTGGGAAATGCCAGGCTTCTGCCCGTGGCTGGGATCGGAAGGTGCGTGTCCTCCTTCCTGCGGGCGGCTCGAATCCTCCACCCCCAGTGTCAGCACCGAAGACTTTCCCTCCCACCCGCGTCCTGAGCAGGGTCGCCTCCAGGACCCAAGACTCCAGTAGAAATCGTGGGAATCGGGTTATCCCGGGGAGAGAATCGGTTCCGATGCAGTTCGATCATTTCACCTATCACCTGGTGTCTCATCTCGTCCTGACCTGGAAGAGCTCCGGGAAGGAAAGTAGCCGCGGTGGCCCAGAACCCCCGGCATGCTGGCACTCACAGTCTGACGCTGCCAGCCATGGCGAAGGTGGGGGGGGCGTCTGACCTCACTGCCCTCTTTTCTTGGTAGGGACCCCCCTCTAATTAAAATGTCCCCTCGTTCTGTGTCTGTCCTGACCAGGTCCTACTGATGCACCCAAGCCTGGCGAGCCGGGGCCGTGCGTGGGCTGAACTCCAGCCGGTGGGAGCAGACAGAGGCCAAGTGAGTCATGAGCGGGGCTGTCTAGTGTCAGAGCGAATCCCGAATGTGGACAGGGGCAATTAGGGAAGCTCGTTTCTCAGAGGGCTTCATGTCTCCTTGTGGTCACTGGTGACAAGTTTATAAGGCTGGCCGTTTTCCTTCCTGGAAAAGATTCATCTTTTTATACTCAAATTAGTTTTTCTGTTCTCTTTCTCCTGATGCACTAACCGCCCCCCAAAATGTCTGTGCCTGGCCAGGAGGGGGCTGGCGGTGGAGGGACATGAGTCAGGACTGTGGGAGCGTCCGCTGGACCAGCCGGCAGCACTGGCCACCCAGCAAACATGTAACCGCAGGGCAGGTATTCGTTACTTGGAGCAAACGCCGAGAAAAATCCAATTGCAGGGAAAAGATGCACTTTGGCAGCTGGGACTCACTCCCCTGATGAAATGCGCTGTTCTGGAGTTGCCCTCTGTGGACCCCGAGACCCCAGCAGAACCATGTCGGCCTCGCCTGCCCGGCACCCCTGCCCCAGGCCCCCCACACCCTCCTGCTCCCCCCAACACCGTCTCACCCACGGACGAGGTCTCCACTCCTGCTGGCCGTGGCCTCCGGTGAACTGACCTGCTGAGTGGGGTCAGGCGCTGCCAGGTCTGGGGTCTGGCGTGAGTGCTGGCCCGGGGCTTGCCCTGTACCCGAGCCCCACCCCACGCAGGAGCCAGGCTCCTGGGGTGGGGGTGTGATGCTCCTGGAGCGTCGGGGTGGGGAGCCTGCAGCTCACAGAGCACGACGGGCCTTGCCCTGCAGCCGACGGCAGGCAGACGGGGGTGTTGGTATTAGTGCCAAGTTCCATGGTGACAGTGATGCCTATAGTGCTCCCCCAAAAAGATATGTCCACGTCCTAAACCCTGGAATGTTTTCTCTTATTTTGGAAAAGGGTCTTTGCTTGCGTAATTACGTTAGGATTTTGGCTGGGGAGATTGTCCTGGATTATCTGGCTGGCCCTAAATCCAGTGACAAGTGCCCTTTTCAGAGGAAGGCAGCGGGAGCTTTGGCACAGACAGAAGAAGATATGAGAGGGGCCGACACCATGATCTTGGGCTGCTGGCCTCCAGAACCATGAAAGAATGAATTTCTGTTGTTTTAATCCACCCAGTTTGTGGCCATCTGTGTGGCAGCCCCAGGAAACTAATGCAGTGCCCAAGGGTACATCAGCCTCATCTCAACAGCTGGGCAAGGACAGCCCCCACCCTGCAAAACTCTACTGGAACCTGCTCTTCGTTTAGAGTGCAGCAGCTCACGGTTGGACGGGCCAGGGCAGAATGTGAGGTTTGCCAGGTACATTAGTTGTGTAAACAAACGACTACAAATTTAGCCATTGAAAATGACATGTATTTATTATCTCACAATTTGCGTGGGTTAGGAGTACAGGCACATGGCTCAGCTGGGTCCTTTGCTCAGGGACTCACAAGTTTGCAATGCAGGTGTTGGCTGGGCTGCATTCCATTCTGGGGACTGGGGACTTCTTCCACGCTCAGGAGGATGTTGGCAGAATTCAGACCCTTGCGGCCATAGGACTGAGGTCCCTGTTTATTGCAGCTGTCACAGCAAGGGCCACCCTCAGCTCCAAGAGACTCCACAGTGCCCTGCCACACAGGCCCCTCACAACTTGGCATCTTCCCTCTTCAAGGCCAGCAGGAGAATCTGTCTCTTCACAGAAGGTCTAGGCTCTCTTTTAAGGACTCCCCTGATGAGGTCAGACCCACCCCAAATACTCTCCCTTTTGACTAGCCGGATGTCAGCTGATTAAGGTCCCTAATTACATCTTACAAATATCCTCTTCTTTGCCATATGATGTCACATAATCGTGGGATGATATCCCATTACCTCTGCCATGTCCTCTTAGTCTGGCCCCACTTACAGAGAGGGGATTACATGGTGTGACTCGTTGGGGAGGTCACCTTCTGGTGCAGCTGACACCCCTGGGGTGTCTTTCTTCCTTTCTGGTCTGTTCTTTGCAAGCTTTCGATTTCTTTCTAGTTCCCTCCCTTCCTACCTGGAGCCAGCTCCCTTACGACTGTGGGTGGATGACTTCAGCTCTCTGGTGTCTCTTCTTCCTCAATTGTAGCAGACACCAGTGCTCCCTCAAATGCTGACACTAATGTAGCGTAAGGTGGGATGTGAGTGGGGACGACGGGTGGCCAGGGCCTGGTCCAGGGCCTGGCAATGGCACCTGAGGACCTGCTGCTCCGTGTCCCTGCTGCCCCGTCTGAGCCCCCTGTGGGGACAGGACCCTGCAGACTGCCCCATGCCAGAGGCTGCAAAAGGCTTCTCTAAGGGCGGGTGGTTTGGAAACAGCCAGTAAAAAGGTCAGACGTTGACTTGCTGCCTTCTGTCCTGGATCTTAGGGACTTAGGGTGAGATTACTGGGGACACGGTAAAGGATATTATCATCTCTGCTTGGGAGGGCAACCTGCAAGGGAGCAGAGGTGCTAAAAGAAAATAAAATGGCCCAAGTCTGTTCTAATAGACACTAATGATACATTGCACATCTTATCAAAAGACAAGAATAAATTCAAAAACATAGTAAACTCATTGATACAGAAATATATTATCTAGCAATTTCTGCTTCACACTTACTATTTTTTTGCCAGAACAATGAGCAGTTTTGACATGGCAGAAAACCAGAAATAAACACTTTCTATATGCGTGATGAGTTTCAAGTGAAAAGCCCTCTCCCCTGTGAGGTGCTGAGGGATCAGGACAGTGATGGTGGGACCTGAGCATCCATTCCAGCCTAGACCCCCGGCAGCTGAGGGAGATGTCCTCGTGAGGGACTCTCGGGCAGATGCGAGCTGTGTCACTGGCTTGGGCTTCACCCAGGTGCTCAGAGGAACCCTGAATGCTGATGAGCTCATCTTATGAGAGGCAGGAGAACTCGTTGTGTGTCTCTGGCCTTCAGCCCTTTGGAAGCAGGAGGAACTGCCTCCCTAGGCCCTTTCCTGGGTCCCACAGCCTAACCTAAGCACCTACAGAAGGAATAACCCAGCCTGGGGAAAATGTCAAGGGGAAAAAAAAGATGTTTCTATGTAAGGCCAATAGGGTAGGTCTATCCATCTATCCCTGCATCCATTTGTCAATCCATTGGCCATCCATCTATCCATCCATCCATCCATCCATCCATCTATCCATCCATCTGCCATCCATCCATCCATCCATCTATCCATCCATCTGCCATCTATCCATCCATCCATCCATCCATCTATCCATCCATCTATCCATTCATCTGCCATCCATCTATCCATCCATCCATTTGTCAATCCATCGGCCATCCATGCATGCATCCATCCATCCATTTATCGATTCTTCCATCCACCATCCATCCATGCATCCTCTGCATCCCACATGGTTTCTGTCTGACTTTTCTCACTCAAGCACGAAGGCCCTGTGTACTGCCCCAGCCCTATGGGAGAAGACCCTAGTGTAAGTAAACCCAAAAGGAGGGAGGAATCCAAAGTGACCAACCAAGTGAGCCAGAACTCCCAGGAAACTGAATCAAAAGAAAACTCCTGTTTGTAAGCCCATGTGTTTACCTATTTGCTCCTCACCTGCAAAGCTTCACCCCATAGCAACCTGCCCTGAAATAATCCAGGTTCCCTTGGCCACTGTTAACATGCTTTCACTGAGGGGTGGGACCGTGGTACCCGCTGGGGGTTCGTGTGAGAACTATCGCAGGAATTACATTGTTTGGAAAGACACTGGTTTGAGTGCTGTTTTTGAAGCGATTTCCTTGGAATCCCCAGCCCACCAGCAACAACCTATATCACTGCTGTGACTGCTAGATAGTTTTGAAAGCATAATTAGCAAAATCAGATTTTAAGCAAATCTGTGTCCTCCGTTCTTATATTATAAAATTACATGCCCTAATGTAGCCTGGAATGGGTATATCTGTATATCCTACTCAATGGAAGGAGAAATTCTTTGCTTTTTCTTTTTTGGGAGGACCATCATCCAGCAAGTAAGAGAATAAATTTGGGATCTCTCTCTCTCTCTTATTTTCCTAGGGCTGCCATAACAAATTGGCACAAACTTAGTGGCTTAAAACAACAGAAATTTATTTTCACAGGAGTCCAAATCAAGGCGTAGGCAGGGTTGGCTCCTTCTATTTTATTTTTTTTTAATCATCATGTTCCTATCGTCTTCTTTTTTTTTTTTATCTTCATGTTGCTTATATTCAAGATAGTGCCTCGTTCGTAGTTCCTTACTTTTGGTAAAAGTAAGAAGTACCATCTACTGTAAAATTATTGGAATCATTTAAAAGGGGTAAATTTTGTAAAGTTGCTAGAAATAGCCCTCAAAGTTAGAGAGTTAAAAGTTGTTTCAGGATTGACTTTAATGGAATGTTTTAGTGACACAGGAAAGTAATTGACCATGTTTAAGTAAAATCAGATTAGAAAAATCAATTGCACTTAACGCTTGCTTCCGATTTGTGAGCTGCCTCCACTGCCTACCAAATCTGCTGGCAGGGCTGCCAACAGAGATGAAATGAGAAGAGAGTTCTAAAAGGTCCTTGAGAAACTAAAAACTTTGCAAATGCAGGAGAAGAAATAGAAAGGGAATGATTTCCTATGGGAAAGTTTATTCATGCTGTTTAGAATTGCTTCCTTCCATTTCACCTTCTTCACCTTCAATATTATTTATCGGGAAACCTTTAATGACTTCAAAAGTCTTTTTAAAAATACTCTGAGATAGAGGCAGGACAATGGTACTTTAAGATGCAAGTCTGCCAACCTCCTCATTTGCTGGTAAATTAATAAACTTCTCTTCCCACCCTCCCCCACCCCCCAAATACTCTGAGATCGATTTAAAAAGTTGTAATCTCAAAACTCACCATATTGTGACCTTGTTTCCCATACCCTGGCTAACTGCTACACAGTTACACATGATTCCTGCACTTAAAGGATGAACAAATGAAACCTGATCTATTTAAATTCCATTTTGGCAAGCAGCTTGTGTATACGTCTGCCTTAATATCACTATGATTTCACTCGGTTTAAGTAAAAATAACTTGTTTCCAATTACATTTATTCTGGCATGGAATATACGTCTTTTAAGACAATGAAAGTTGAGCTAGAGAGTTTGCATTTTGTAGGGTTTTGGCCTGCACCTATCCTATGGACACAGAGAGCACCCTTTGCATGATCAGTATTAGGAACCAGGGAACAGGTTCTCAATCTATTGGGTCTTTTACTTTTGCTTTAAGAAAAATACATCCCGACCCGGCGTGGTTGCTCACGACTGTAATCCTAGCACTCTGGGAGGCTGGGGCAGGTGGATTGTTTGAGCTCAGCAGTTTGAGACCAGCCTGAGCAAGAGTGAGACCCCCATCTCTACCAAAAATAGAAAGAAGTTAATTGGACAGCTAAAAGTATATAGAAAAAATTAGCCTTAGCCAGGCAGGGTGGCACATGCCTATAGTCCCAGCTACTCGGGAGGCTGAGGTAGGAGGATCACTGGAGCCAAGGAGTTTGAGGTTAGTGTGAGCTAGGCTGACGCCACAGCACTGAGGCTGGGCAATAGAGTGAGACACTGTCTCAAAAAAAAGAAAGAAAGAAAGAAAGAAAGATACATCCCTGGACACAGATAATCCAGACCACTGCCTGTCACCTCTCGGAGACAGCTGTGGTTGGATACACTCTGGGGGGAGTATGGCATTTGGCCCACTTCCGTCTCTGTCACTCCACAAGTCCGGCAGCAGCACCCTATTGATGGTGTATCTTCCATGACTGCACCCAAAGGAAAGGTTGTAAATTCACCTGGGATGAAATGTACAGCCTGAAAGTGGATCCTAGCAGCCAACTCAACCTGTCAATGTGAATGCACCAAGTCAATCTCATTGTTATTTCCCAAATAATTTGCTGAGTTCCAGTTATACACCAGGCCCCAGGCTTCCTGCATCCTATATGTTTCCTGCCTTGTCCTGGCGACCTGCAGCAGGAGAGATGCACTTTAAATGTTAGTTTAGAAAGCAGAAGCTGCATGTCCATCTGGGAGGCTGAGCTGCTCACCTACACGTGGTAAGAGGTAGGGGCTTCAAGGTTCATTCCAAAGCTCATGCCTGCTCAATACTAAAATAGATGTTAAAGGAAAAGTGTGCTCTTGATCAGAAAATGATCTCAAATATTGGCAAAGGCTGAGAAATCACTCTGATAAACAGCGTAGAATAAAGACTGGAAACCAGCTTATATACTAGTGTAAAAAAATGAGCTGCTGTACCTTTTACATAAATTGTGCTTAGGTTACTTGAGAATTGCTACTTTCCAGAGTTGCTGCCACCCTGTAAGTTTTCCAAGGAAATGTCTCTGTAACTCCGTAGCGGTTCAGGCTGCGGTTTTGTGCCAAGCACGCTATTTCATTTCTGTTGAGAAACTTTAATGGGACTCTTTGGCAAACACATTTACAAATCTTTATAATGTGAATGGCAGCTGAAGGAGAAATCTTCTAAATCACACTGACGCTTAGTTAGGTTTGGTTCAGTTACATTTCATGGACTTTCATAGTGAATACCCGTGACATGCTCCAAAGTTTTCATTTGGCAAACCACAGATGAGTGAAGCACACAGCAGCAGAGGGTACCACAGGACAGAGTCACTGACAATGGCCCAGAGGGGGTGACACACAGGGAAACCCAGAGAGGTCCTGACAACCACTGAACGCAGACGGTGCCAGGACACAGCAAGCGTTCTGTGCAAAGACCTTTATTGGTTTCAAAGCCTTACTTTCCAGAATCACTGTGTTTCCCATTGCAGTAGTGCTGCGGATTATTCGACTCGTGCGTTCATCACCTCCCAGCGGTAAACATTTCTTTCCTATTTATTTTAGGCCACATGCATTATTTTTCTCTCCTTTTGAGGATCACAGAAGAGGATTAACTTTGGGAAGAGGACACACCCAAGCCTCACTGAGAACTGCAGTGATGGTCTGAAAGTTTACGGCAGCCCACAGTATGCAGATCAGCACCCCAGCATGGCCAGAATGGCAACTGCGTCCATGAGATGAACTCACGTCGGCAGAGAAGGCAAGCAGGAACGAAACCAAGCACATCAGGTGACAGCAGCTGCTATTTTAGCTCAGTTAGTGTCATCGCCGGTGACTGCCAAAGATCTAGAAATACAAAATGATCGTGTGTCTACAAAGTAGGACAGTCCTTTAATTTACCTCCAGGAGAAGAAATGAGAAAGCAACCTCCTCCTGGCTTAGCTCTGCAAGAGAAACGGCGTGCGTGCACCGTGCAGGGTCCACTCCCTGGCTGCGAACGCCTCGCTGCCCAGGACGGCGGCCTTGCGCCTGACCTCCGTCCACGCTATTTGTCTAGCCCCATCACAACCCTGACATAAAATCTTGCTTTCCTCTGCTTTTGTTGTTTCTGTTTGGCCAGCACACTTTGCTCTCGTGTTTCTTCTGGAACCAAGCGGACATCGGTTATTGCCTTCCCGGACGTCAGCAGAGTCTGTTTGGCCTTTTCCAGTTCACTGGCCCCAGTCTGCGGGTCAGGTGGGTCCCGGGGTGAGTGACACTCAATACTCTGAGAGCTGGGGGCTGCAAACGTTAGAAAGATAAGGTAGAGCATAGCAGAAAACTAAGCACAGAGCTGTGTCTTATCTCAGCGTCTTTGGAGAAAGAATAAAAAAATTATTGACTGTGATCACACGGGCTGAGTTCCAAGCCCCTTGACCGCAGCTTCCCAAAGCAGCTGGAGGACAGTCTCTGCCCTCTGCACTAACCTGCTCCAGGCACGGAACGGGTGTCTTCCAGCCAGCTTGGAAGACACACGGCTATGAGGACCCAATGAAGGGCGAAGAGGTCGTGCTTGGATCTGGACCATGGGAACCCTCTAATGGTGTCAGGAGGAGTGTCAGGAAGGAGCAGAGAGCTGCAGCAAGACTGTGGCCTCCGCCCTGGCCCTCTAGGTGACGTTGGACGAGCCACCCAATCTCTCTGGGTTTGCTTCCTTCCCTGTGGATGGCATAAAGTTAGGCTACGTGGCCACCCAGGTTTGATGGCTCTGCCCTCACTCAGGAAGCAAGTTCTGGCCCTTTAGAAAGCAAATTCCATTGAACGTTTGCATGTCGTTAGAAGGGCTCAGATAAGACACTGAAATATAATTCCCGCGTACAGAGCGAGATCCACATGCCGTGCTGGGCTGTGAGGTTGGGCTGCGTCCCGCCTCCGCCTCCTGAAACCAGCCTGATGAACAGGGTCCCCGCAGGTGAGAAGTGGCAAGGAGCCACTAGGGCCAGCGAGGACACAGATCACGCCCTGCATGGGGTACCCTCAGCCTCGCCCATTCCTGTACCTGCCCTCCTCTTCCCTTTGCCCAGCCTTGGCTCAAGCCTGACTCACACCATGGAATCCTCCTGGTTATCAGTCGGGAAGTCTCTGCACTTGCACAATGCCTGCAATTTCTGCAGTGCAACTTGGCACTTGGGTTGCTCGTTGCTGGTTCCTGTGTGTGATTCTTGTCTTAGGAGTTTCCGTCCAGGGACAGAGCTGCACCTGAAGCTTCTGCATCCCCTGGATCTAAGAGGAGAGTGCTGAGTGAGTGGGAAGATGGAGAGATGGTCAGTACGCGGAGTTGATTGACTTAACGTAGAGAACTGAGGTCAGAAAGCAAGTATGTGCTTGCAAGGAATTGCATTTTAACCACCGTAATTGTTCAATCTGAGCTGCTATCCAAGAGTCTTCTAATTAAAGCCTATTGTTGTAAAATGAATTTCCTGATACTATGATTTAAAGTTCCTAGACAGTCTTTCATCTCCAAAGTGCTTCTACTGCATCTGGTCAGTTCTCAGCCAACCTGCTAAGAGTTTGCAGCTGAGGGAGCAGGCTCAGGCAGGCGCGGGGCCTGCTGGAGTTACACAGACACTGGCTTTGGCTTCCGATCTCAGGCCTTTTGCACGAGTCCATAGATTTTCCTCTCAAAAAAAAGAGTCAAATTTTGATAGCTGGGGTGAACATGGTAGCTGCAAAATTTAGGCCTATACCATGGTTTTTCTTAGTCATGGATTTTAGAGATTGTGAGTCTTCACATGAGTGTTGCATGTGGATGCACCTGTGTACGCATGTGCACATGTATGTGCAAGTGCATGTGCATGTAACTGGGGGTAATAATCTCGCTGCTCCCACAGAACTTCCTAAGGCACAGGAATTCTCAGTCTTCCAGAAAGTCAGCTGATACAGCTGGTGAGCCGTGTGCAGGTCTTACCCACAGCCTTGGCCAGCAGCAGACGGGGATGCCCAGGAACAAGGGTGGTTGGTCCCGGCAGTCTATTGCACAGGGAAGAGCTTTGCACTGAGGGGAGACAAATGAGCTTTTCTGTCCCTTTGGCTCTGTGGCCCCTCGTTTGATATAAGGGAGTGTGGAGCTGGCGGGCCGGAACCTCAGCCCCCTCTATCCCATTGTCCCCTGCTGTCTGTCTGTCTGCTGTCTGTCTGTCTGTCTGCTGGCTGTCTGTCTGTTGTCTGTCTGTCTGTCTGTCTGCTGTCTGTCTACTGTCTGTCTGTCTGTATGCTGTCTGTCTGCTGTCTGCTGTCTGTCCGCTGTCTGTCTACTGTCTGTCTGTCTGCTGTCTGTGTCTCTGCTGTCTGTCTGCTGTCTGTCTACTGTCTGTCTGTCTGTATGCTGTCTGTCTGCTGTCTGCTATCTGTCTGTCTGCTGTCTGTCTGTCTGCTGTCTGTCTCTCTGCTATCTGTCTGTCTGCTGTCTGTCTGTCTGCTGTCTGTCTCTCTGCTATCTGTCTGTCTGCTGTCTGTCTGTCTGCTGTCTGTCTGCTATCTGTCTGTCTGTCTGCTGTCTGTCTGTCTGCTGTCTGTCTCTCTGTTATCTGTCTGTCTGCTGTCTGTCTGTCTGTCTGCTGTCAGTCTGTCTGTCTGTCTGCTGTCTGTCTGTCTGATAGGTTTCTCGGCTTGTGTGGGCATGTGAGCTCAGGCGGCAGGTTCTTCTCTCACGGTCCGGTGTCCACTTAGGGGGACAGAATGGGGCTCGTGCTAAAGCGTGGGTGGTCAGTGGTCCCCAGAATGTATCAGTGGTCGGCGGGCACCGCCCTGCTTGCTCATGACAGCATGGGCCTCTGGAAGGGAGCTCTCGCTTCTACGAGTCGAAGGAATAGTACAGTTGTAAGTTGTTTCCCACTGCTTTTAAAATTAGAAACTTTTACCAATTTAAGTGAAAAATGGCATTTCTTTCACTAAAGAACTGATTTCTTCTGCAAGTTTCTAACAGACCTAAGGGAAATGCCATGCAAAAGAAAGGGCATTCCAGGTGTAGAGAAAGGGGGGCTGGAGCTGCCCACCGTCGGCACCGACCTGCCCACCCCGGGGTCACCGCCAATGTCCTGGCGACGCCTCCTGCCTTAGCGTGCCCAGAGACAGCTGCGGACATGCTTTTCAACCAGCTGCTAAACAACACTAATGTGATCCAGCTTTGACTACACGTATGTTCTTTTTCCTAAAAACTTTGTTTTTAATTTTACATTTGAAGAGGAAAATATCTGGAAAGCAATACATTCAGGTGCTTTCCCCTAGCAAGAGGTTTCTGTCTGGGTCTTTGACACCCACAGTGTAATTCCATTACAACCAACAGCCCCAGGGGGCCACACACTGTCAGCTAAACGTCAGGTGTCCCGGATGGAGATTCCACCTGGGAGGAGCAGAGGAAAGAGAGCATGCCCTCCCTGGCTTCCGTTACTCGGAGGAGGCTGAGCAGGTCTTGCATTCTCAATACACTGTCATTTTGGCCCGACAGAGCTGCGTGTGTGTATTTGGGGCAAATACAAAAGTGGTAAAAAACAAAAACAATGATACACTTGTTTAATGACCAGCCATGCTGGGAGGCGCCAACACCTGTCCTTTGAGTCTCTGGTCTCTGAAAACCTTGGACAAAGGAGCAGGTCCCCAAGGAGCCAAAACTGCCTGAAGAATTGTATACCATCACCCTGGAAGGCCTGTTTTCCTTCATGGTGGTGAGATACAATTGGCAACGTTTGAGTTTGACCCAATCATTTCTTTAGCTTCTACTTTTCTCCCTGGCTGCTTCTGGGGACCATTTTAATTTCCTGGAGCTTGGCAAAGACTATGGGTTCCCTAAGTCTCGTTTCCTGGGTGCCTGGCTATAGAATACTGCTTCTGGAGTTCACGCGGGGGTGTCTGTAGTATCTGAAATGCTAAAACTTTTAAAAAAGAAGCCAATCATTTTAAAAAGAAGGACAGCCCATAATGATCGGATCCCTGAGGCAGCGTGTCAGGTATGCATGATTTTATTTAAAATGTGTCCAATAAGATTTTCCACTTGGAATGAACATTTTACCTCTTTCCGCGTATTATTATAAACAGCACTTCCTCATTTCATGGAGTTTCTTAGAAAGTTCTAAGTGACTTAACAGAAGAGCAAATGAAACGGTGGGGAGATTAGATAACGGGAAGTCTACATCACAGCGAGGGTGCTCACGCATCCCGACCTCGGGGACACACAAGTGGCTACTGGGCGAGGAAACAGACCCGGTCATGCAAATCATCGTACGGTCACTTGGTGTCCTTTGGCAGTTCTGGCATTCCCTGTCACTAGCACATATGATGAAATGAGTCAGATGACCGCAGTGAACGGGAAATTGTCTCTTGCGTTTGGTGGCTGAGAGAAGACAGGAACACAAATGCACTGTGGTAGGAGCATTCCCTAACACCGGAAAAGACTGTTCCCGGCGCTGAGCCCCAGGGGTGCACCTGGTGTCCGCACCACTGTCTGCCCCGGGTGGCCGCAGCTTCCTCTGCCTTTCGTCTAATGGCACTGGTTCATCCGTGGACAGCAGCACACCACAAAATCAGCATCGAGCGCGCGCGGTGACCAAGTGGGCAGCTGGAGGCTCGCGTCACAGAACCTGGCAATGTTAGATTTGTGTTTTCATGAGCCAAAGGTCATAGCACGAATGAGGCCTAAACGTCATCACAGCAGACCACGGGCCACAGAAAGACACGTCTTCAAGTCAGGCGGACCTGCCGGGAAGAGAAACAGAAACAGGGAGCACAGCGAGCAGGTGGCGGCGGGCGCGGGCCGCGGCGCACCGCCTTCCCGGGAAACACGCACGGCGCCATTTACACGGAGATGGGGCGAGCGGGGCACGGGCTCCCGGCCGGCTCGCAGGGGCAGCTGTCACGGAAAGAAGCTAAGGGCAACGTGACCAGGGCGGGCAGAGGGGCAGGCGGGCTGGGAAATGTCACCATCTCAACACGTGTTCTAAAGTGACTTAGAGGTGACCATTCGTTTATAATCGCAACACAATCCCGAACGGCGTTTGCTCCCTCTTTCTCTCTGTAAACACATCTGCTCATAAATAACTTAAACGTCCCCTCGGCATTCAGGGTGCAGTTCTGGCTGGAGTGACAAAGGATGGGGGATGCACGGCGTTGAGGAGGAGATGGCGGGGCGTTGGTGTGTGTGGACGGGCGGCTCAAGCGACAGGCGCGCGGCGAACATCAGCCATCCGACACCGGCGGGGTGACCCAGCCGTACTTTTCGTGAGTCTTCACCAAACTCTTAAAGGTGGCTTCCGCCTCCTTGCGGCTGAAGGACTTTTTTGACTTGCCGGCTTTTCTGCAGATCCGCCCCTGCGTGAGATGGAAAGAGAGACCAGGTTAGAGCTCCGGCAGCAAGCCTGCTTCCCGCCGTCCCTGTTAAAAGCACACACACACGCGTGGGGGGGGTGACGTCCGAGTCAAGGAGACCTACCGGCCACCAGCGCGGTGGGGTGTCCCCCACCGGCACACGAGGCACACGCCAGCTCCGGCGCAGACCCCATGGAGAGCTGGAGCCGGCAAACCTTCGCGGGGCGGGCGCTGTCCTCACGAACCCGCACGCAGCCCGGGCTCCATCGGAACCCGCGCGTGCTAGGGTGCGGAAGCGAGCTCCGGCCCTTCCCGCGCCACGCCGCAGGGTCAGCCTCCTCACAGGAGCAACGCTCGGACGGAGCACGCCCTCCCTAAGGCAAAACTGTTCTGGCTTCTCTCCCTCCTTCCCTCCAAAGAATGCCTTTCATTGCAATTTGTAATGCCTCCCTGGTAACGACGGGGATAGCTATGCTTATATATAGATGCGTGTATTTGTATATTCACACGCACACCATTCTGACTTCTAAAATACACGAGCAGATGAAAGAGGACCAGGAGACGGGGTGAGTGTGGGCCCCGATCAGACTGGTTGCAGCTCTTCCTACTGCAGCCTCAGTTGCTCTCCACCAAGCCTCTCCACCACAGGCCGCCTGAAATGCCCCTTAGCCGCTGAGGCACATTCCCTTCCTCTTAACCTCCCTCAGGCTCTCCTGGAAGATGAACCTGTCTTCCGGGAGCCCCGGGCACGGGTTTTGAAGACCGGGCGGAAACATCCAGAAAGATCCGGGTGATTTGCATCGACCAGCACCAGCAGGTGTGCTGCTCCCAACCACGGCCAGCTGCACGTGAACTGTCACCAGCGGGACTCCCGGTGGG